TGCCACCCAGCAGGTCATTTCCTAGGCAGTAGGTATGCTGGACATTTTTCCTCCCTAGGTGCAGCACTTTGCATTTCTCCTTGTTGAACTGCATTCTGTTGTTTCCTGCCCATTTGTCCAACCTGTCCAGGTCTGCTTGCAGCTGTTCCCTGCCCTCCGGCATGTCCACTTCTCCCCACAGTTTTGTGTCATCCGCAAACTTGGACAGAGTACACTTCACTCCCTCGTCCAAGTCGCTGATGAAGACATTGAAGAGTATCGGTCCAAGGACTGAGCCCTGCGGGACTCCACTGCCCACACCCTTCCAGGTCGATACCGACCCATCCACTACAACTCTCTGGGTGCGACCCTCTAGCCAATTCACCACCCACCGGACTGTGTAGTCATCCAAGTCACAGCCTCTTAACTTGTTCACCAGTATGGGGTGGGATACCATATTGAAGGCCTTCCTGAAGTCTAAGTAAACGACGTCAACCCCTACTCCTGCGTCCAGGCGTTTTGTAACCTGGTCATAAAAAGAGACTAGATTAGTCAAGCATGATCTACCTGCTACGAACCCGTGCTGGTTTCCCCTCAGCAATATTTTTCCTGCCGGGCTCTCGCAAATGTGAGCCTTGATAATTTTTTCAAAGACTTTGCCAAGGATGGAGGTGAGACTGACTGGCCTATAGTTCCCCGGGTCCTCCTTCCTCCCCTTCTTGAAAATGGGGACCACATTGGCCCTTTTCCAGTCCTCCGGGACCTGGCCCGTGCGCCACGAGTGTTCAAAGTGTCCTAGCCCGCAACAGCTCACCATACCTCCTTAAGTGGCCCACCAGCCCAAATAATTGTCCACCCCTGGTCCATATGTACTTTACTGTTAGCATGTATGGACCTTCGTGTGCCTGAGCTCAGAGGCTTCCTCGCCTCTTTAGGAAACCAGGCGTCAAGATTCCTTCTGCCTGATACTCAGGAGATAAATGATAAAATATACTGACTGCACCTCAGTTTCTCTCATCTGCCTCTGGTTCAAGATGAAACTTTTTGTTATCTAAGTTCAAGCATATAGAAAACCCTTTTTTCCTGCTTTCAAAACTTGTGAAAGTTAGTTTCAAACTTTCTAAGAGGCTCTCAGTTATAAAAGATTTAATCATGCTCTGGGACTGTAAACTGCTTACCTCCCATGGGGTACCTGTTTGAACCAGCACCATCATGCTTCCTGCCACACTTAGCAGTCAGTCAGGGTCTTTTTAGTACCCAACCTCCCCTGTTTGCTGCTGTGGTTTTCCATTCAGCATGGTTGGTCTGAGGACTCACCCCAAGTTCTAGTCGTTGGCAGTTGCGGAGTGCCACCTGAATCAACAGATTGACCTTCCTTGTTTCTTCCCAAAGCCACCTGCATCCTAAATTTAGGCATTTTTCCACATGCTGGATGTGAGCCTACCCTAGCCCTTTATTTTCAAAAGATAAAACTATTTAGGTTGGTTCCTAAACTTTCTGTTGCTGTAATGGAGAGAATGAAAGGCAAGGTGGTCTCAACCCAGGGTTTTCCAAATCTCAGACTGTGTAAAGTATGTTATGAGAGAGCCACCATGGACCCATCTACGTCTGTTAGAACACGCAGCAGCAGAATTCTAGCTGTGTCAGCAGCCTCGCTACAAGCTTACTAAATGTCAAACAGTGTCAAAATCCTTCAGATTGCACACTGGATTTGACAAAGTGAAGAATCAGTCACAGTATTCTCTTGAGACTGAGATCCCACCTCCAGTTGAACTTTGATGCTTTGGAGTCATGAACAGTGGGACGTGTATATGGCAGTTACTTGAAGGAGAATGAGAAGTGTACCTTGGGCTACCTGGTGTTTTTCAAGGCGTTGTCCATAGTTATATTTTGCAACCTACTTCTACCCTGTCTGCTCTGGATCGTTGCATGCCTAAGATTCCACAGCTGAAACAAAACTGAAGTGTGGTCAGTGTCCTCCATATTTTATCTCCTCTGTGCAAAGCGCACAGAATTTCAGGGGCATGTAAGTGCCAGACATAGATTGCTGGTCAAAAATTCTCTGGGGTTGGCCATTTTTAGTCATGCCCACCAGTAGTGGAATGTGCTTGTAGACAACACAGCTTCCAGTTAACATAAGGGAGCTAACTTTTCATTTTATTTATCATTCTTTTGTTAATAGGTCTGTGTAGTTGATCATCCTCCAAATGTTTGTCACTCACCACTGAATTCTCACAGTATCCCTGTTTGATGGATAAGATGTTATTCCCATTGTTGGGAAAGGGAAAAAGAAGAAAAAAAATGTCTTCTTTGCGGGGTTGGCGGCGGCGTGGTGCACAGGCATGGCTTGCTCCGTGCGGAAGGCACTGGGAGCAAGGGCTCTGCCCTGCTGCTGCTTGTGTAGCCGGGACAGGAGGGCGCGGGGCAGAGACACTGCCTTGAACAAGCGGCATGCTGCTGCCTCAGACAAGCAACACGCAGCAGCAGAGCCACTCCAGCTGCCTCATGCCTCCCAGATGAGTCATGGTTTCACTCCGCCCTGGCGAGTGGTGGCACGTCATGGCAGGGGCATGTGCCCCGGATCTGCTTGGGGTGGCCTGGGCAGGGGCTGCTCTGGGTGGGCAGTGGGGGCTATGGGGAATTTTAGGGTAGCTGCATCTTTCCTATAGCCCCCGTTTCATCACCAACACCTCACAGATCCAGGGGAGCATGCCTCTGCCATTCCCTGCAGCTGCTGCCACTCGGCAGGGCGAATCCACAGCTCATCCGGGAAGCATGGGGTGGCTGGAGCAGCGCCTCTGTCCCGCACCCCCCTCCCTGGCTGGACTAGCGGCAGCAGGGTCGAGCCTTTGCACCCACGGTCTTCTGCCTGGAGCGAGCCACGCCTGTATCACGCACCCCCCTGCTCCGGCTGGGCAAGCGACAGCAAGGCAGAACCTCCACTCCCAGTGCCTTCTGCCTGGCATGCAACCCCGGCCCCAGCTGCCCCACACAGATCCGGGGCACACGCCCCACATGCCCTCCTGGATCTGTGGCATGCAGCAGTGGGAGTTGCCCCATGCCCCCCTGCCCCGGCTGGGCAGCACTTGCCACAGCCCCGGTCCCAGCCCCAATCACAATCCCTCCCACGCTGTGGGGGTGTTGATCTGCCTCCCCACGCCTCTTCCCTCCTTTCTTCCCTCCCCACCACAACAGATTTACCAGCTGGACACACTTGTGTCCAGTGTCGTAAAGGCAAAACCCACGTCAGAACATTGAAAAAGGGTGTCAGTTTACAAGTGTTGTAAGTGCCATTTGATGTAACTCGAAACGTCATAAGTCAAGGACTGCCTGTATAGTAGTTCTTATATTCAAGATTTCTACTTGGAAGGTTTTACCATATCTTTTTCCATCATACTTTTAATAGTCCAAGCCAAGGGATGTAGGAAATACAAATCATTTGGTGTTTAAAGAAAAGAGAAAACATTTAGTTTAGGACAGTTTTGTATCTCTGTTTTGGCTTCTTTTCCTTTATTCTTTACCTATAGACTAATATTAACATAGGATCTGGTTTGAGTTCATTAGCTTTTGTCTTCATTCCTTACCTGACAAACTAATCTTAGATTTAGAGTTGGTTCTGTGAAAATGTTTATGAAACTAGAGCAGGAAATACGAGAATTTCAGCAAGAGAATGAGCAAAATGGGCACAACAAGCCCAGTGTTGTTTTAAGTTAGCACAAGAGGCTGCAACTGTGATTTGAAAAGAACATTCACAAGTGTTTTTCAACACCACTAAACTGTATTTTAACTCCCCCTCCCTTCTTCCTTTTTCTACAGCCAGGAATAGGCCAAAACATTTTTGTAGTTGAGCTGATGGAAATAACCGTGATCAGTTTCTTCAAGGCAAAGTATTTACCTTGCTGGGTGTTCTTCTCTAACTTGTGGTGTGATATCATCACAAAATAAGTGACTTGTTCTTTTCTCTGCCCCTAGGAATGATATTTTTGTGTTCCTGTTGAGCACAAGAGCTGGAGGCTTGGGCATTAACCTCACAGCTGCAGATACGGTATGTAAATAGTTTTGTATAATTGTAGAATACAAATCTGTTTTCTAGAATGTAGCTGGCTTACTGCTGAGAAATAAGGATTACTAGCTTGGATGCAGCACTATGATAATGTGGCTATACTGCTTCTGGGGCTGGACCTAGCAAGTGCAAAGCTAACACAGCAATGTCTTCTGTCATATAGACTCTGGAATCCAAGTTCACATATTCATGGCAAGCTTGGGGCATCTCTGCAGCACTGTATGCTGCTGTGTAAATATAGCTAGATGGCACAAGGAGTGTACAAAAGCAAATAGCACGTTTGTATGGCAGATCTGGTTTTATCTGTCTCTCTTGTGAACTTAAGCTTGAATAGTACAGGGATATTGGATCCTTGTTCAGCAAAATAATTACAGCACTGCCTTTCATTTTGAAAGCATTTTGTTGCTATGCCTGTTTGATTTCATGAGACAAGCTTCTTTCTGCACATTGTATTAAAGTTTCAAAGACTGGTAGTAAGAACTACCTAGAGGAGATCTACAAAGTTTTCAGCTCTCATGTATCAGAATGCTAGTTGACCACCAGGTTGGGAAAACTTTTCTCCTCCCTCCTAGTCATCCCTCATATTTTATTGTACACCCAATTAGGTGGGCAGTGTCTTCTGATGAAACATCCTCCATACATAGAGACAAGCTTTTAGACCATATAAATGATCTTTTTAAAAATAGCTTATTCATACTGAGATTTGACAGCAAATAAGACAGTCGCCCTCAGTTCCCAAAAGGCAGCAAACTTCTGAACCTAAAATCTTTCCCCTCTTTCTTTCTTTTCAATTCCCCTGTGCCTCTTGTAATTTCCGAAACAAATTGGAACAAAATGAACATCCACAGGGTTGCCTGGGCAAACCAAGATAGATACAAGTCAGAGAGCTTCAAAATGCTTGTAACTTCTGCAGATCCTGGAGTCTAAACAATACTTTGGTATGTGAACTCAAATTTTGAGTATAATCAGGAACAGATTCTATTGGTAGGGTTATGATGCTGTTGTACATCCTCAAAGGATCTTTTACTGTCAATATTAAGAACAGAGATTGACCTAGTTTTTCTGTACCTTCATTCTGTCACACTGAGGATTTGTTTGGGAGACTCTGCTGACACCATCTTCTTTGCTTATTTCAACATGAAGAAAAGGCTGTATGTAAATAGCATAAACTGTGGTACAGGGAAAAGCCTTCCCTTTTTGAGTCCTTTTAGTCTGCTTTTCTTTTGGGCTTATTGAAGATACTGCCTTTTTGAGTTTGATTTACAGGAGTTATACTTGGATATGCAGTACATGCTCTGAATAGTTATCATTACACCCTCCTTCCAATGGGAAGACTCAATTAATCGCTTACTTTTGGTCAAATGTACTCTGCCACATGGATGACAGTAACTACTGCTGCAGATTTGGGTAAGCCCTGACAGACGGTTTCTGGCCAGATGTGTCTGTCTCCTAAAAAGAGAGGCAGGCTGCTCAGGCGCCTTTGTCCTCTCCATTGTTTTAAATAGTCAGAAATCCAACAGTAAACTTTTCTAAGTGCTTCCCTCTCCCACTTACTTTCTCTTCAGCCTGCTTCTGCATTGTGATGTGTCCCTCCTTGCTCTACAGTACAAAGTTGTTTTCTCTATCTAGCAAGCTGGCATAACATAGCGACACAAGCAGAAATGTACACAGTGCAGGAAACCATTCCTGCCCAGCCCCAAATGTCCTTTATATTCATGTGTCCCATATTTATCAGCCTTGTACAACCTTAAAAATGCAGGTTCCTTGTAAATATATTTGTTGTCTTTTGGTAGGAGCTAAGCTCCACAAGGACAGAAAGCAGTGGGAACCCTGCCAGCTCCAAACATGACATTCAGGAAGTAGCTGTTGCTGCCTGCCAAAGACAGGTCAGCCTCAGGGGACCAACAGCAGCATCTGCCCTTTGCCAGTGTCAGACTGGCATATGGACTGTGGGGTTTTTACCTTCCTCGTAGGCCCCATTAACCAGTGGTTATACTAAAAAAGCTAAAATTAACTTTAATATGGCCAGAAAGAAATCTCTGCCTGTGCCTTTCCATTACAGACTCGCTGAATGGGATGCATGAGGACTCAGTGCAAAACCAGAAGCAAACAAAACCCTCAGGCAACTCTGACTCAGACTCCTCCTCAGAATTATTATGCCTAATGGAGGAAGAATTTTCCAGTTAGGGGAAACTATAAAGATCTGGTTCAGGCTTTTTCCCTACAAATCCTTCAGTACCATGCTGAATGTAGTCACTTCCCCTGATTCTCAGTTTGAGGTACCATGTTATCAACATTCCCCACACCTCTCAAGCCTTCTGCTCCCCACAGATGTCCCCACTTAACTCACCTGCCATACCTTGCTCTTATCAGTGGGCAGGTCTCTGAAGAAAGAGGGAATCTAGCCAATAAGATAGAGCCCCCTGGTCTGAGATTTCACTGAATCTTCCAAAATACCATTTCCTGTGTTCAGCCTTTCTGCCTAGTGTCCTTAAGCCTTGTTATCTGTCCTTGTTAGACTTATTTCTACTGGTAGGTCCTCCAGTTCTCTACCTGGTCTTTCCCCAGTCCAGTTCGCTTCTTTGAAGGCCTCTTAATCTTCTAGAGAGGTGGAGAATAAGCCAGACCTTCTTCATGGCCTGTTTGACCTTGGTCACCTTTACCACAGATTCACTCACGATTTATTCCCTGGGTCCACCTTCCTTTGGCAAAAACTTTGTTCTCCTCCCTGTTCAGAAACCTTCAACCCATCACTGCTGGGCCCCTTCCCTTGTACTTCTCTCTCAGGCTTCCACCCTGTATTGCTTCATTTGAAACAGGGGGGTGCCAGGCATACAGCTTGTGAGCCAGATCCGGCCCACAGTGACAGCTCATCTGGCCTGCAGCTTGGACCGGGGAGTAACTTCTGGCTATTGTAGCCAAGCATCTGGTTGAGAGGCATAGTGCTGGAGATCCAGCAGCACTGCGGGAAGAGGCCTGACATCATGGCTTGTTCCTGTGGCATCAGCAAAGAGCCTAGGATGCTGGACTTCTTCCTGCCAACTCCTGGACCAGAACGGAGGGGGTCCGGCACCCATTCTGGCCCATGGGCCTGCCTTGCACCATTCATCTGGCCCGTGGACCAGCCTCTGAGGCCAGATGAGTTTGACACCCCTGTCTTAAAGGAATCTGCTCTTGCTTCCCTATAATGGAGACAAGAGGGGCCCTGTTACAGTAAAAGAAGATCAAATTCCTGGTTGCAGCAATAGAGAATGGAATGATTCCTGCCTATATTTATAAAAGAGCCAGAACTACTTATTGATGCCAATACATAGAAGTGATAATGGGCTGAGAAAGATACCAGTCTATGAAAGGCAGGCACCTTAACAGTCTGTTTGTGAAAGCTGTACGGGTTACAAAAGAATCAATTTCGTATAAGAACACTTTAAACTGGTACATGCTGCCATTGTTGGAGGAATTTTGAAAACCCTTCAAGCCAAGTAGGATTCTTTAACAAAGAAAACAGTAAAAAATTAGATTGAAACAGGAAGGTTCTGCAGTCTCTTATGAGGTTGCTGACAGATGTTAGTTTAAAGGCATGATGGGATCTGATGCTTGATTCCAACAATTGCGTCTCCTGCCATGGCACATGTGCATGGCAGGATGCATAGTTTTGGGGGTTGGGGATCAGATCGTAAGTACACCCTACTTGCCAGTGCAGGAGGAATCTGGGGTCATGATCCAACATGATTCAGCTACAATCCTACTGATGATCAGCTGATTGTCAGCTGCCAGGGACTCTACTGGGACTAATTAGAGGCCTGATGGGGTCCCAGTCCTGCCCCCAGTCAGCTGATAGTTGGCTAGGACTGCACCAACGCTGGTCAAAAACCCCTATGTGGTCTTAACCCTGTCACAGTTTAAGGAGCAACGGAAACCAGCCACAAGGATGGCATTTTTTGTGTAATATTTTTTTGACAGACGTCTATTTTTATGGCACCATTAATTCTCTGAATATGTGGCTGGATTACCACTTAAAGCACAATTAATGGACTAATCACATCTTAAGTGTAATATCTGCCAGGGATCTAAGCAACCACAGCTTTGGGTTTTCCTCATTTTTTGCAGTGCTTCACTTTGAAATCTTAGCCTTCTTTTGACATTTGTTTTTTATGGCATTTAGATGTAAAATACCTGGATCTTTTGGGATGAGAAGTTGCAATACCACAACCTCTAAAAATGTGGTTATAATGTAAATGACCACAAATCTTTAATTGTTGCAATGATATTATGCTGTAATATTTTTTTAGAATTTTGTGGTCCAAGCAGAACTTGGCAAGGTAGACGAAAATAGCTAAGCTGTTCTGTAATATGACACTGAGTAATTCAAAAGCACTTGAAGTACGGAGCAAAGGACATATCTGCCCTGTATTCTGGGAAGCATTAGAATTTGCATGCAGTCTTCATGCCTTCTGTATGCCACATGTGCATGGCAAGACATGCAATTTGGGGATTGGGAATAAGGTCCTAATTGCACCCTACTTGCCAGTGCCTGCAATTATGGTGCAGTTAGGACTTGCCTGCAGTCAGCAAATATTACATGCAGTTTGGACTGTGTAGCAGAGTTAAATTCTCCCAATGGTAGGCTAGCTTTCTTTTTTCATTGGATGTACTTAAAAACAAAATATTGTAACAATTTGTGTCTGTTTAACACCTTTTGTGCTGCTGTAATGTTCCTCTATAGGTAATTTTCTATGACAGTGACTGGAACCCAACAGTAGACCAGCAGGCCATGGACCGGGCACACAGGCTGGGGCAGACAAAGCAAGTCACTGTGTACCGATTGATATGTAAAGGCACCATTGAGGAGCGCATCTTGCAGAGAGCCAAGGAGAAGAGTGAGGTGAGAATGAATAAATTGTCTTGAGCAGGAGAGGTTAGAAAGGGTACCAGAAGCCATGAAATGAGAAGCAGAAAGGTCTCTCTGGATAGAAGGGGAACCAAAATGGGGAGTATCCATGCAATTAAAAAAAGACTAAACAAATGAGTATCCAGTTGTTACCAATATTTCAGCAACACTATAGCTCAGGGGTTGGCAGCCTCTGGCTTCTGTCGGCTGCTCTTTGCAACCTGGAACCATGGGTGACTGGTGCCTCTTGTGTCAGGGGGAGCACGTGCCCCCTGCCCGACACCAGTCAGCAACCCGATCTCACTAACCGGGGGGGGGCAGTCCCCCAGCAACCAACCACACTGACTAGGAGGAGGTCCCCCACAGCTGATCTCACTCACCAAAAAGGGGCCGCACAGGTTCCAGAAGTCCCACGGTCACTTCTGGAAGCAGCACAGCCACTTTTGCTGGTGGCCCCGCTCCCCAGCTGGCGCTCACGGGGGTGGGGCACTAGTGTTCCCACCTGCCCACTGGTTAAATGGGGAGCGTGGCCTGACAGGGGGTGCATCGGCGCTCTCACCCTCGTACACGCCCTATGCGTCACCACTGCCTAGAACCCTGCATGGGTCACAGATCTCTGCCCCCTGGAGCACCCAAGTACTTGCGCTCACCCTCACCACCGATTCCATTGCCACTGGTCACTTGAAAGAATTAAATCCAAAGACCCAAGCTGACAATGGTCAGATCCAGTCTTTGTGGGACAGATCTGACCCATGGGCCATAAGTTGCTGACCTCTGCTATCACTGGAGTGTAGCAGCAGGGACCAACATGTTTATACCAGCCTGTCACGAATCTAGGTTTTTACGCTACGATGTGGAACATGTCTGAACCCTGTCTACTATACAGCTTTATGCTATCACTGTGCTTACAGGTTTTAATTTTCTTGATGTAGGAAAGACCGTCCTTCCACTAATTTCTCCAGAACTGTAAACTAGTATCACTTAGGATTTGAGTGTTGTGATCCTTTTATCACGTTAGAATTTCTTTTCAGAAAGTCATTAAGATAATCAGATAATATACAAGGAATCACAGTTGTGCACAGCATCAAGCAGTAAATGTTTTTTAAAAACCTTCCTTGTGGCTTAAGCTTAACCTTAAAACTTTAAGGCAGGAGTGGCCACAAGTGGCATGTACAACTGCTTTGCTTGTTGTGTGGCAGGGAGGAGAGAGTGGAGCAATAGATCGGATGGGGAAGGAGATCAAAGTATTACTCAGGGAGGGGGCAGGGTTTACATTGTGGCACAGTGACCAAAAAAGGGTTGGCCCCCTACTACTATAAAGAATGCTATTATGCTAACAAAAATTGGATACCAGTTCCCAACATTTAGTAGCAGTAATACTGGAAGCTGTAGTGCAGACAGGTCTCGTGTATTCTTTCAGCTTTCCTGTCTATTGGGCCTTGTTTGTATTAGAACCTTCAAGTCACTGCATTTTGTGGTTGATGGCAGTGCAGTAGTGGACACCACATTACCCACCTCTGAATTAAGGTGTATTTCCACTTGTACCCACATTAGGGCTGCCTAATGCTAATTTGGGAGGGAGGCTGTTCTGTTTGACATTTCCTGAAATGTCTGATCTTTCTTCTACCAGTTCTGTATTGTGCTGCTGATACTTGTCAGTAGAGGTGCACCAAAATATTGGTTGTGTATCAGATCAGCACCGATAAAAGGAATATTAATGTTATTGGCTATCGGGTTTTTTGGCTGGTGTAGCCCAGAATGTTCACTGATAAATATACCATGCCTTCTGGCTGGGGCCTCTGGATGCCATGTGCATGCACGCAGCCACACGTGTGTGCATGGTCAGGAATGCAGCCAGGCAGCATGGAGAGCAGTGCCCTGCAGGTAAGTCTCTCGAAGCGAAGGGTTGGGATGGGGGCGGTGACTGAGGCCCCCACGGTGAGGAGTGGGGCTGGAGCTGGGGGCGCTGCCCAGCCAGGTTGGTGAATGGGACCCAGGGTGGGGAACAGGACAGAGCTGCAGGCAGCTTGTCCAGGGTGGTGCAGGGTGGGGGATGAGGAGCAGGTCCCCACTGTGTGCACCCCCCAAGTTGGCATGGGGAGTATATGCCCCCTCCCCCCCAGATTTATGTGCAGGGCAGATGCGGGCTGCTCACCGTGGGCTCGGTGCTCTCCACTCTCTGCCTTTTCCTTGGTAGCCCCATGCCAGCCACATGCCCCCTGCCTGCCTGGCATAGTGGGAGCATAGGCAGCAGAGCGGAGAGCCTCAAGCCTGCAGCAAGCAGCCCACCTCCACCATCTCCCCACTCAGCTTCTCTCTGATTAAAAGCATCCCTGCACTTAAAAATGGTGGTAGCAGCAGTGCTTGAACTAAAGCTTATTCAATGAGCTGTAGTTCAAGTGTCCTGCTGCCATTTTTAAGCACTGGGACACTGATCCTCTGGATGAGCTGCCCATGGCTCTGTCCTGCTCCCCACCCTGACCCTGGGTCCTATTCATCACCCTGGCTGGGCAGCGCTCCCAGCTGCAGCCCCCACCCTTGCCCTACTATTTCCCTCACCATGTGGGCCTGGATCTGCACCCCCCATACCCCTTCCCTCCCATATGCCTCTTCCCCTCTACAGGCTTACCTGCAGGGCACTGCTCTCCATGCTGCCCAGCTGCATTCCTGTAAATCTGTTATGAGATTGGTATCAGCCAATATGGCTATCGGTATCGGCCAAGAAAATCTTTATCGGTGCACCCCTACTTGTCAGTCTAGATGCATCCAGAGAGGTCAAGTGATTGGCCAAACCTGCATATCAAATCGCTGTCTGACCCAGGATTTAAAATCTAGGCTCTCTTAAATCATAAACCACAATGCTTCCAAAGTACTTGAAAAATGGAGAGAATAATACTTGACTATATCGCCGATGGCTGTGAGGATTAATAGTTAATGGTCAGCACTACATTAATGCAGTGACATTCATTATTTAGTAGGTGCTGCTTTAGTAGAAGACTGCTGCATTGCACAGTGGTCAGCAAATGTTCTTCCATGTGGTCTCAGTTGCAATTTACTAAATCTGTTTTAGTTGATGTGTTAATAAAAGCTTCTGTGTTCTTTTGCTGGGTTTACCAAGCTAGAATAATCAAATCTTTTCTTTTATGACTGTCAGCCACTTTACCAAACAGAAAATATTGCTACTTTTAATAAAGAGAAATGGGAGTGGTTCACAGCTTCTCTGTTATGTGTTCTTTTCTTCTAGATTCAGCGAATGGTGATTTCAGGTGGCAATTTCAAACCAGACACCTTGAAACCCAAAGAGGTGGTCAGCCTTCTCCTGGATGATGAAGAACTCGAGAAGAAACGTATGTTATTCACATTACAATGCTTTTGAATTTTTTCTTATCTGTCTCTGCACATGTACTGTAGATAACTACTTGTTTCCTGGCTTATTTTATATCAATAGCTGCTTTAGTACAAGTTGGTTTCATAACACTATTGGGTAAAATGGGCAAATATGTGTGTGAGAAATGAGATGATGTAGTTTAAAGATTTTATTGGCACTTAATAAAGATCACCACATTATTCATGAATGACAGCTTTAACAGAGTAAGGAGGATCACTTAAAATAAGTGCAAGAGGTATTTGAATGTGTAACATATGTGCATCTTGATACCACTTTTGAGAGAGATTTTCCAGTAAGACTTGTACTTTTCTGGGTTTGACGACAGTTTTTCTTCGTAGGAGCCTTCAATGCATCAGTACAGCATTAATGGCTTTATTCAGGGATTTTCTAGAACCTAGCTACTGTGAAATGGATAATATTTATAGAAGGATAGGAAAGAATTTGGAGAGGTGTTCAGCCCTATAGTAGCCTTTTTTTCTATTTTTCTTTCTTGACAGTACGCCAGCGTCAGGAAGAGAAACGGCAGCAGGAGGAGACAAATCGTGTGAAAGAGCGTAAGCGAAAGAGGGAAAAGTACGCTGAAAAGGTACTTAGATGCAAAAAATACCTTTCTGTGCGTGGTCAAGAGAGTCTGAAAAACTTCCAGCAGGGGTTCTTGCCTGTTACATCGTGTGACAAAGTCTGGTTTAATAGTAGCCTCTTCTCTCATTCCCCAGTGTGTAACATCCTTGTGGTAACTGCAGTGTTGCTTACACAGAGGAGTAATACTAGGAAACTATTATAAGTGTCCTTATTTTTCTCTTAATGAAATTTGCAACTTGGGGGAAAGGAAGCACTGTGTGGTTTTAGACATCTGTTTGGATCTTTGAGTGATCCAAGCCAGCATTTTGGGACCCCCTGTTTGAAATCACTAAATGGCATGCAGTTTTCAGTATTTCATAAGGCAGAAGCTTAATACTCTCTTCATTTTATCAGATTTGGGGAATGTGAAAAAGGAATAGAAATTAAATACTGGGCAAAAGCCAAGATCTGATTTAGATTTTTTTTTCTTTTAAACAACATTTTTGCATTTAAATAACTTGCATCTGAATTTAACAGGATAAGCATTTCAGCTTCACTTGCTTTCTCTTTTTAAATATCAAAATCAAAATACTCTTAACTCTTCATTAGTGGAAAGGTTACTCCAGCCTGCGAGCCATTTTAGGGAAACTTCCTAATCTAATGCAGAATTTCCTGCTGTATCTGGTGCCATGTCTTCCAAAACACTGTTATCAGAAAATGCTGTGTATGGCATTACTCTGATTACTGAATGATGAGCTCCATTTCTTTGGAGCTCTTTATTTATTTGTTCCATTTATCTTCTTTATCATGTTTTGTCCCTGTGTAACCTGTTCATTTTGCTTATTTGCAGAAAAAGAAAGAAGATGAGTTGGATGGAAAGAGAAAGAAAGAAAGCATGAACCTGGTGATCCCATTTGTTCCCTCAGCTGATAACTCCAACCTGTCTGCTGATGGTGATGACTCCTTCATTAGTGTAGACTCCGCCATGCCTAGCCCCTTCAGTGAGGTGAGATTTTTCTTTTAAACTGTTTTCCATACTTAGATTCAGGGCACAAGGCTTTTGCAAATTAGCTTCTAGCTAGCATGGAGCCTCTTGTACTGTTTGGAAGCTTGGTGTATCTCAGTCTTCAGCTGTTGCATTGAAACTATTCTATCCAACTTGTAACAGCTGAAATTAATCTTCTTCTTCTGCTCTAACTATGTATCTTTACATCCCATCTCCTTCACTGATTTCTGGCCTCTTTCTACATCAGATCTTGCTTCTTTCTCCTCACCTTCAGACTCTATAGAGCTCTGTGCATGCCTGCATCCCTGCTGGTTTCTTCCTGTTCTCTTCTCCCCGTCCTTCCTTTATGTCCTCCTCTCATGTATGGCTTCTCATGGCCTTTTCCCTAGCAACACCTTTCATGGTTAGGATAGAATTTCCACTTGTGAACCAAGCACCCTCCCTCTCCTCCTTCATAATACTTTATCGTACTTCAGTTTCTTTGTAAGTACCCTAACCAAACTCTCCTACAGCTTTTTCTGCTTCCTCACTTCCATCTGCCCTTTAGTTGTGGCGTTTCCTTTCTCTAACAGAAAGTTTAAATTATTTGGGGCACAAGCTTCCTTTCTTCATCTTTGTAAAAAGCAGTACAGGCCTGTGGCATTAAATATATAATAGTGCTTTCATATGAAATTGGGTTAAGATCTTTACATTATACATTTCACTTTTTAATAAAAGTTTTTGTCAGCAATACTGGTGGAGCGGATAAGACAAATCTTAATCTTTCTCGTTTCAAAGGGCACATTCGCATGAGGGTTATCAGTCTGGAAAATCAGCAGGGTTGAATAAAGAGGAACAAGGGTTTTCTTGGATATCTGCCAGGTTCCTGAATTTTTGTATTTAGCATATATTTTAGTTCACAGTTGAAATTAAAGCCTGGCAGGAAGGAACAGGTTTTAACGCTGATCCACTTGTAAGTAGAGAACTTAGTATGGTGAGGCAGCATATATATCATGTTGCTTTGTCTTGCACTGAGAGAAAAAGAGGCTAGTTGCTATTTAATTGTCTGGGGTGGGGGGGAACCTTCTTTAATGCAGTTGCACGTTTTCTGAAGTTTTTAGTCTGGTTGTCTTTGCTGCTGTCTTTACCCAACAAGGTTTGGTCTCTGTCTTGTCTAGATCTCCATCAGCAGTGAGTTGCATATGGGATCTATCCCTCCTGATGAAAGTAGCAATGATATGCTGGTAATTGTGGATGACCCAGCATCTTCAGCACCTCAGTCAAGGGCCACAAATTCTCCTGCTTCCATCATGGGCTCAGTCTCAGACACCATGAATGGTCAGTACTTTTCCCTTAGCTAAATATTTTCAAGCAGCCCAGCCTTGACCATTACATCTGTATTGGTATATCTAGTACATCTTACATCACTTCATGCCTGACTCTGTCGGATAGGAGAAGGGGTGTAAAGATCTACGAAAAATGCCTCCCTGCTATGAAATGACCTCAGATCTGACAGATAGTTTCTTCTGTTGATATATTCGGTCATTTGTTATGCTTTAGCATTTCTATGTTACTTAGTACTTCTGTTTCATAAGACTGCTTTTGGCTGTTTTGATGCAAAGGGCCCCTTCTTGCATAGCACATGAATCAGCAAAGCACAGTCTTCCCCAGGACTGTTCTCTTGTATGTTTAAATTGTTCCCTGTAATCACTCTGGGGCTGAGGGATGGTTCCTGATTTCCTTTTCTCCATTATATCAGTGAGCCAGCTGTAACTCTGTGATTTTTAGCTACCATCATTCTGGGTTTTGAAATAGTTAAAGCCATAGTGCTTGATGAGTTTCTTCATAAACAACAAATGAAAAAGTCATAATATCCTCCTCCAAGTAAGAGTATGTTTTAATCCTGAGATGAAGAAACATACCCCTACCACACATGCATCAAGTTTAAGAGTGAGGTTCAATGTACAACTGTCAGGTGTTTATGAAGCTGCATTTTGCTCATGAGTCACTTTTTATGTATTGCAGCAGTTGACATCTTCTTTTCCTCCTTTGCTTAAGGAATTTCAATGCAAGATATGTCTATCACAGGAAGAGGCCATTCAGGTAGAAGCCGGGGTCGCCCTAAAGGTTCAGGCAGTGGGTCAAAAGCCACAGGGAAAGGCCGAAGCCGGAAGTCAACAGCAGGAAGTGCAGCTGCAATGGCAGGCGCAAAAGCTGGGGCAGCAGCAGCCTCTGCAGCAGCATATGCAGCATACGGGTACAACGTGTCTAAAGGTATGAGCGCAAACCAAACCACATGTTTGGATGTAGGGCTCTTCAGGCATCCTGTCAAGAAATAGGTAATTTTATTTAAACTGTTTCTTGTTCCTTCTCATTGAGGGTCAGTCATATAATGTCACATAGCATTGTGATAATACATCAAGTTGCACCATAGCCATTCCAGGTGTAGTAAGAAATATAGCTAGCACTACCACTATCTGTAGGGATGGATCCAGGATTCTGTGAAGTAGGGGTATGGGAGCAGTGACTGGCACTTCAGGGTTAGCTGCACCCCTGCTCCCAGCTTGCCCCAAACCTCAGGCAGGCAGTCCACGCCTCAGGAGCAGCAGCAGAAATTTTTTTTTGCAAGTCCCCAAATCAGGTAAGAATCCTGTCCCTCCTACTCTTCCCCTCAGCTCTCGCCCTTGCCGCTGTGCTGCCTGGCCCGCCCCCCCCCTTCTCCTTCATCCTCAATAGTACATCCCCTCCCTTCCCCTCCCAATTGCCCTCTCTCCTACCCACTGCTGTTACCAGCTGATGGGGGTGGCAGGTAGAGGGAGTCTTCAGACCATTCCTGCCCTGCTCCAGTTGGGCTCATCAGGGAACAGCAGCTGCAGTAGCGGGTGGGTTCCCCCTCTCAAGCACAGAGTTGGGGAGCTTGCCCGATGCTGCCGCTGTCCCCTATTGAGCTTGGCTGCAACAGCTCTGGAACCCTTCCCCCCACAACTGTCCCAAACCACAACTCCCCCAATTCATTTCACAGAGGGGAGGGGCTCCAGAGTCACTGCATCCAGGCTCTGCAGTGGGAGGGTTCTCCTGCCCCATGCTTGCGCTTGGATGCAGGGAACATTGTGGAGACAGGACAAAAGAGAAACCTGCCCACTGCTACCACTGTTCCTGGCTGGAGCTGGGCAGGATTTCATAGATTTCATAGATTTCATAGACATCAGGGCTGGAAGGGACCTCGGAAGATCATCGAGTCCAGCCCCCTGCCCAAAGGGCAGGAAGTCAGCTGGGGTCATAGGATCCCAGCAAGATAAGCATCCAGTTTCATCTTGAAGGTATTCAATGAAGGCGCTTGAACCACCTCCTTTGGCAGGCTGTTCCAGACCTTGGGGGCTCGGACAGTAAAGAAGTTCTTCCTTATGTGTAGCCTGAAACGATCTTGAAGTAGTTTGTGACCATTCGACCTCATCATCGCTTGGGGCGCTCTGGTGAACAAACGTTCCCCCAGATGCTGGTGGTCACCCCTGATAAACTTGTAGGTGGCCATCAGATCACCCCTGAGCCTGTGCTTTTTCAGGCTAAAGAGCCCCAGGGCTCTCAGCCTGTCATCGTAGGGTCTGCTTACCTGACCTCTGATCATGTCATCGTAGGGTCTGCTTCCCTGACCTCATGAGTGGCTCTGGAGCCCACCCACCCCCATTGGCTGGGGACAGTGGCAGCAGCAGGCAGGGGAGGGGGGAAATGGGAGGGGAGGGGTTGTGCTGTTGAGGATGGAGGGGAAGGGAGGGGGTATCAGGAGTGGGAGATGAGGCAGGGGGATGGGATTCTTACCAGATTTGAAACTTATAAAAAAAGTCCTTGCTGCTGATCCCACAGTGCAATCTGAAACGGAGTGAGTTAGCACCACTGCACCCCCTCTGGATCTTTCCCTGGTTGTCTATATTTTGCTCTTATGTACAGAATTTTCATTGCATCCCTTAGAACTTGCAGTACATTCTACATCATCTTTCTCAGGTGTTTTTTGTCTCAGAGAAATGAGAACGTTCAGTCAAAAATGTTTGGTGCTGGTTCCATATGTTCTTGCATACAGCATGCCCCAAAATAAAGTATGCACCTTGTATTTGAAAGGCAGAATGAAATTAAAAATAACTTTGTTTGTAGTAATTGAGTAATAGCAGCTATGGAGCTGAGTCTGATCATTGTTCTGCACCCTGTGAGTTGCATGCAGATTTTACTTTCACTTAGCGATAACCAGCAGAAATTGTTCTTACTATATTTTTTTGCCAATAATGCACACTCCAAGTTTCAGCAGCTGGTTTTTGGGGAAAAAATGCATGTTGTGTGTGTGAAAATATGGTACCTCTGAAATGGGGCTGTGGCTGTTTCTTTCTGTTGTGATGTTGAAGCTTCATAGTGCTAGCAATAGAATATGAACCTAAAGTGTTACAAAGATGCTAATGGAGCTACAGTGCCTTACACTGCCAGTGGTACATACCAGTTGCATTGTACCTCTCTTAAAGGCCCCTCATTCTTATGTGATCTACAGGTGCACAGAGGAGTCAGGAAGAGCAAGTTGGATTAAGCGTTTAATTGAGGGTGCGATAAGCTATTCATAGCCACATGTTGCAGAAGTTAATTTTATGTATTGTGGAGGAGTCACAGGATGTGAATGTTGTGTTCATCTGAGATTGGCTTACTTTCCTTTCCTTTTCCTGTTGCTAGGTATGTCTGCAAGTAGCCCTCTCCAGACATCAATTATTCGGCCTGCTGGACTTGCAGACTTCGGACCTTCAAGTGCTTCTTCTCCCTTGAGCTCCCCTTTGAGCAAAGGAAATAGTGTTTGTGGGACCCCAAAAAGCTTAAATCTGACCAGCAGCCTGATATCAGAAACCCCAATTCGGAAGCAAAGTAAAGGAGCCCATACATCAGGTGGGCGGTAGTAATTTTGAAGCCTTGAACTTTCTCTAACCATATTGGCTTTCAAAGTAGCCCACCCTGCCAGCAGGAGGCATATGCAGGGGAGAGCCTTTTACCATCCCACATGTGTATGAAAAGAAAATCATAGCATAATAGGGATGGGTGGTTTACGTGAGCACTTTGATTACATGTATCCCAAAAAATTACCTTCGCAGACGCTACAAGGAGCAGGGATGGGGACTGGGGTTAAATGAGAGATTTTTTTTACATAAATTTTTCACCCATTTTACTGATGCATTCTACAAAGCTTACTGGAAAAAGATCTACCTACAAAGTGTGATGTCCTGCAGCCATTTGTGTTTGTGGTCACACCAATGTACTGTTCTTCCTCCTCTTTCAGCTTCAGGTGGAGTTCAGTTCTATTCTTATTCTAAGAAATCAGTAGCTGAACTCTGAGGGTACCCTTCAGAGTTGGAGGAACCCTCTGCACTGAGGACTTGGCAGTGCATTTGGGGTGGGCGCATCTGTGGATATTGTGGCCATGTAGTTTGGTACCTCTAGTATGGATCTGTGGATTCCCAGAAGAATTCTCTAAAGACCTTGAGTTCAAGGGAAGGGAAAAGAAATCTCCCAAAAGTTTCCAAGGACTGGACTCTTGTCAGCACCATGTTTTTGATCCTGTTCTAGACATAAGGAGGTAATTGCAACTGCAGTTGGACAGAGTAGGCCTAGTGACAGTAATGTTGCTGTCTCTGCTTCATGGAGTGGGAGAGGCTACAGGTCACTGGTTTACATTTCAGAGCCCAAGTCTGTTAGCATGAATCTTCATTTTGTTGGGTTTAAGAATGATTTCTCCCATTTTGAGCTACGCTGAACTTTTAAGGCTTAGTAAAAGTCAGACTCTACTTGTATATATTTCAAGAAGAGGAAATGCTGATATGCAAGGGGAAGAAGTTCACTGGTATTCCTCTCACTGTGCCATAGCAGAGCTTGCTTATGTCATTTGCCTTTGGGTACTGCAGCTTGCCATGCCACAAGGGGAACAATAGAGAATTTGACTGAAACAAGGACTGTGCCATTTCCCCTTTCCAATCAACTCTTGGGAAAACTGAAATCTCCCATTCCAGCCATCCATCTGATCTGTTCTTCCAGCACATTTCCCTTTCGTCAGTGATCGTCACGCATACTAGCTTGGTTGAGGTTTTTTTGGTTTTGTTTTATTTTATTTTTACAGTGTGCAGGCACTAGCAGACACACTCATGAAATGAACAGAAGCCAGTGCTTTCAGTGCCACTCTCTGTCCTCATTCTCTCAGATTGTTCTTTCCCCATTCTAAATACCCCTTGCTTGGCTATAAATGTCTGCATTGCACTGAGATACAGGTGGGGAGCAGTTCTCTCATCTCAATGGCTATACTGCAAGGGCACTTTCATCCCTTGAGAGAGAGAGAGAGAAGCAAGTTGAGTTACAGGTCCATGCTGTGACAGCAGAGGATGTTTTTTTCCCAATCCCAAGCCCCTTGCCTGGCGTCCCACCGTCTGGAGCAAGTGCTTCCTGTCGGCTCTGCCTCTAATTTGCACACCTAATAGCGGAAATGAATTTAGTTAGACTGATTTTTAAACAGATTTGGAGGGGATAATTGAGGGGGAGGTGTTGTTTAATTTAAATCATGAAGACTTCCCCCTTCCCCTCATATTCACATGTATATATGATATTTAGAGGGAATAAGAAAAATGCCAAGACTTTTTTTCTCTTTGAATGTGCTGTCTATTTTTATAACTGAACCTGTACATATGTATAAAAAGAGACACAACTTTCTTTTACTAACTGGAGAAAAAAATCTTAAATAAAATGGAGTGAGATAATTTTATGTAAATCAGAGTCTGTGGTTTGTATCCGTGTAGCTTTACGAATGAGCAACACGGGAAATAGGTGTGGGGGGAGTGCTGTGGGGCCATGTCTAAGTGTGTACAGGCTGCCAGAAATAGTGGGCCAACATGCTCTTTAGTTTCTACCCTCTTGGGTCGCATGCTGTTCTTAACAGGGTTACAAATGTCCAGTGGACTTACTGCGTATATATTGAGTATGTACACTTTTTGTATAATTAAGCAAAGGATGCTACGGCAGAGCAGGTAGAGCATCCCACTGTCTTGACTTGTGCCAAAGGCTACCCCCAGCTGTAAACAGGCATCTGTCAAGGAGTCATGAAGGCCTGACATGAATGCTTACCACATCACTCCCTTGTGTTACCACTGGTTATGGAAGCTGGCATACTTTAACCAGACTTGCCCAATAGGCCTTCTAGACCTGGGCAGCGCATCACTGAAATAACACAACTAAGCAACCTATGCAGGATATGTACAATACAGTACAGGGAAATGGATAGATTTATTACATGCAAGACTCACCGAGGTTTTCTGACTAGAAAATAATGACTTGCTTCATTATAGTTGATTCCTTTTAGTATTTTAGCCCCCATAGATATTCACCTGTATTTTTTTTCAGCTGGAGTTATAAGGGGATTCCTGGGTCCAGTTTTGATTTTTAAAGTGTCAGGAAGTTTTAACAGAGATTGAAATACTTTGAGAGCAGAGTGAAGGAAGTTGTATGCAATGTGAGCAGGACTTTAGGAAAACATGTAAATCTGCAAAGAAGAAAGAGTTGGAGGATACTGGATGGAATATGAAGTTAACTAATTTAAAAATAAAATTTCAGTGGCCTACCAAGTTGTCAGGGAAGGGATAGAAGCCTAAATACTTGGGAGACAAACTAGGCCAGACTCTGGAAGATGTACCACAGAGCATTAGTTCTCAAACCTTTTTTGTTACCACAGCCTGCCTGCCACTCTACAGCCAACCTCCCTCCAACCCATGCATAACCCCACAACGCACCTTCCATTTGCCAAGTGTGTTGCAGACACCCAAGCTAGCTCCACACACACACACTCCAGAATGGAAGGAGCACAGTCACATTCACTTGGCACTACTGCACCTGGGCTTAACAGCTCTGCCTCTCAGCAAAGCTAATCGGTCTGCCCTCCATCCTAAGTTAAGTTCTGCTACGTTATATTCAACAGATAACGTGCACAAAGCAGTCCAATGTCTCAGCACTAAGCTGTCCAGCAGGGGAGGGGGTCCTCTGTGATGCCTATCTAGGGCTCCTTGGTTATGAACCACTGCTGTAGGGAACAATCCTTCATGGTCAGTGACAGGATGTCCTGCTGGGACAGGTCCGCCTCTGATTTCTATGAATACTTGTACCAAAAACGGATCAGTTCATTATTACCATTAGATGTGATACAAGGACAAGACTACCCATTCTAAAATTGCTTGGCAGTAACTTTAAAAGGAAGAAGTGGGTGCTACTCTATTCTGAATATTGTCAGCTTCTGGTATTCACTACTGCTGGAGATAATCCAGACAAATACATTGGTGGGGCTTTTCAAAGAGATGGTTATTGCCATTTTCCAGTAATAACACATGACTATGCTTTGAAATGTCAAGAAGGAATCCTTTCCCCTTTCACCCAGATACGGCATTGCACAATCATCTTCAATGTGTTATTGGGGCAGGATATCACTTTCCTCTGAAGCATCAGCCATTTGCAACTGGCGGAAACAAGATACTGGATTAAGTGAATTTATGATCTGAGCTGGCGTGGCAAAATTTGTGTTGATAAGTTTGAGACACTGAGGCCTGTGTGTCCCTTCTGTTTTGTGTATGTAGCATTTACCCATTGCTGTAAAACTACAAACACTAACCACTGCTAAAATTACTATAAAAGATTTCAATCCCTGTACCCAAGCTTTTCCTAGACTATCTAGATTCAGCTTGGAACCTGTGCTTCAAATCCTTTCTTTCAATCCTGGCTCTAGCCTATTGCCCTTTTCAAACTTTTTTTTTTTCAAGAGTAGATTGCCTCAATTATACTATTCTCTTACTCCTAGCTGTACTTCTGTTGCCTTCTTTCTCTTACCTCTGTTTCCAGCTTTCCTTTTCAGAGATTGTATATCTTGAAGCCAACATTTTATCTCCATGGTAGCTGTATAGAGGTATCTTGCATATCAATCACTACTAAAAGAGAAAACAAATATGCTAAGTGTTGCCATTGAAATTTTTAAGTAGGTCAGAAACCACGAGTTGCATTGTTATTTGCAGTTGGATCTACTCACAGAGACTTTTTGCATTTTTTAAAGTCCTGTGTGATAGAGTTGTTGTGTGCTATGAACAGGGTGATCACTTCTTATACTTCAGGGTATAAGCTCATCACCTACAGGAATTGAGGAGTCTTTCTTCATGTTGCAGTTTTATTGCAGTGGCTAATTGGAAAATCACAAATGGAAGTGGATGGGGAGGGGAAGGGGAATATAATTTTCTCCCTCAAAGAACATCAGCTATTGGCAAGATACCAGACTTAATCTCCCAACTGTCTGAACCAATATTCTATCTGCTTTGTTCTGGACTGCAACCTTCCTCTTTCCAGCAGCATCTTGGGTTGCTCCTCCAAACAGCTGGTGGCCAAATGTCCTGTGAAATGGGGAAATGTAAGATGTGCTGGGCTGGGCTTTTATGATCATTACCCTATCCTCAGTTTTACCCTGTACTTTTCTCTTCCTTGTAGCAGTAAAACTGCTACAAGGCAGATGAAGGTCCCAGCCCATTTGATGTTGGACTTTGTGTACGTGATCTTCTTTTCAGGGATGCATGAGCCTAGGTACTTTCATCCAGGTGTTAGGAAGTGTCTCAGCATTCAGATATGAAATGGCCCTTCCTTCCTTAATCTAATATGGCATCATCTAGTATGCCCAACAAAGAGGAGGCAGGTGGAGTGGAGGGAAGTCCTTCAAGAAGAGCTGTGTTTTCTTGAATTTTAATAAAGATAAACTACTTTCTTGCTTTCCTTGATTGCTGTCAGAAGAAAGTAAACCTTTAACCTATGTGAGCTGCTTGTGGGAAACCCTGGAGCAAAAAAAGAACTGCTTTATAGACATACAGTGGTGGTGGTTGGGAGTGTTCTGAACTGGTTTGCAAAGGTAGGATGAAACATTTTCTGGTTTCCCAAGCCATCTGGTGCATATGGTAACTGCCTATTATTGAGATGTTGTGTACAAGCAGCAATCCTCCTCTCTCTCCCTGTCTCTTTCTCTCTCTTCCCCCTTCCTCCCTCCCTTGTAAATGTTAATCAGCCATTCGCAAGATCCCCATATTGCATCAAGGATCCAGGGCTTTTCAGAAAAGCCTGGGTAAGTCTTTAACCTGAAGGGAAAAAAAATAGGAAAACCTGCTTTCATCCTAAGGCTATGAAAACCACATTAACTGTAATAACCCTGTATTTATGTATGGGTTGCAGGCATCGTTTCCTGTATTACTTACAGAATCAGTTTGGGACTAAATACTTCTGCTCTGGACTATCATTCATATCTGCGTAGGATAAGAGTGAAATTGAATTTAATATTTCTTTATTCATAGCTAACCTGGTTGGCTTATTCTCAGAATGCATTTAAATGCTGTCTCACACTGGGAGAGGTCATCTAAAAACTTAATTCCACCTCTTTCATCTCATGGCTTCCTGGTATCTCCTTTCCTTTTTGCTTTCACTTCTGTCTCCTGTAGAACAAGAGGATGATCAACATACTTAAAACACTTAACACAGTGTAAGAAGAAGCATTCCCCATATGTCTGTCTAGCCCTTCAATTTCTTGCCCCTATACCTTGTGATAATGTTCTCTGTGCTTTTCAAAAGCGTATTGTAAGCCTAAATGGCCAGAAAAAAAAGTTTTCATTTATCACATATGATAAACAAGTCCCTTGAGGAAGTTAGAACTGAAATCTGAAGATTCTTTTTCATATTTAGTCTGCTGAGAGAGCTACTCTATATTTGTTTTGGAGCTATTTTTGCCTGCTTTCTGGAATATATGATATACAAGGAATTCTTTTGGAATACGTATTCATGAATATCTCTCTAGTTTAAGTGGATAAGATACTCTTCTTCCAGAATAAGAGTATCCACATAAGATATTCTGATTCATAGATTCATAGAAGTAGGGTTGGAAGGGACCTTGTAGATCTTCTAGTCCGACCCCCTGCCCTGGGCAGGAGAGAGAACTGGGCTCAAATGACCCCAGCCAGGTAAACATTGAGCCTCCCCTTAAAGACCCCCAGGGTAGGAGCCATCACCACTTCCCTTGGAAGTTGGTTCCAGATCCTAGCCGCCCTGACTGTGAAGGTAGTGCCTTTGGATGTTTAGTCTAAACCTACTCTCTAGCAACTTATGGCCGTTATTCCTTGTTACTCCTGGAGGCACTCAGGGGAATAAGGTCTCTCCCAAACCCTGCTGGTCCTCCCTAGTAAGTTTATAGATGGCCACCAGGTCCCCCCTTAGCCTTCTCTTGCGAAGACTGAACAGGTTAAGGTCCCGTCGTCTCTCCTTGTAGGGTCTGCCCTGCTGTCCCTGGATCATGCAAGTGGTCCTCCTTTGGACCCTCTCAATGCTGTCCGCATCCCTCCTGAAGTGCGGCGCCCAGAACTGGACACAGTTCTCCAGCTGCAGCCTGATCAGTGTCACATAGAGGGGGAAGATCACCTCCTTGGCCCTGCTTGTGATGCATCTCTGGATGCAGGACAAGGTACGGTTAGCCCTACTGACCGTGACCTCGCATTGTCGGCCCATGTTCATCTTGGAGTCAGTAATGACTCCAAGATCTCTTTCTGCCACCGTGCTTTCGAGAAGGGAGTTCCCCGGCCTATCGGTATGCTGCTGGTTCCTACTGCCCAAGTGCAGCACCCTGCACTTGTCAGTATTGAATCCCATCCTATTTTCATTTGCCCACCCCTGTAACCTGTCCAGGTCCTGCTGTAATCTGTCCTTCCCTTCTAG